CTTGTGGGACTGAGTTTGTTTGTTGCTGAATTTCCATTCATTCATCCATTATCTTTTACCTGCTTCTTCCATTTTGGGTCACGAGGGTCGCCAGTGCCCATGTCCAGCAATCACTGTGTGAGGGGCAGGGTACACCCTGGACAGGTCACCCTAGATGGAAGAAAATGGTAAATGGACTGTACTTGTATAGCACCTTTAGATACTCAAAGCACTTTACACTACAGTCTATGCCCTCATTTACCCATTCATACGTCACTACTATGTCTATACAAAGAATAATCAGTGTTTTATCACATTCATACACCGATGGGACACACATCAGAGGCAATGAGGGGTTTAGTGTTTTGCACAGGGACACTTCGGCATGTGACTGCTGGTGGAATTGAACCCCTAACTCTTGCATTGTAGGTCGACTGCTCTAACCCCTCATCCTCAGCTGCCCAAAATGTCTCCTGTTTTTGATAACTTAATCATTGTTGGGTTGCAGAGGTAAGCAGTTTAGGAGGAAAGCCCAGACACCCCTCTCCCCAACTCCTCCTGAGCGATCCAAGGTTTTTCCAGGACAGTGAAGATATGTAATACCTCCAGCAAGTGCTCTGCCCTGAAGTCTCCTTCTCATTGGATGTGCCTGGATGTTTGGCGTATTAGCTCCTGGTAAAGTCTACCAGGACAAGCTGACATCAGAAGGCCCAATCTAAGAGTGATTTGAAGACTTCAATGGAAAAGGACCACATTATACAGGTAGTTTTGCCAGCCAGTGCCTTATGGTCAAACCTTGGCTCCTGGGCTCTGCAGGGCCCAGCCCCACAAAAAAGATCTTCCTGTGGACTCTCCACCTGCAGGGGAAAGCTGTCCAGTTTGTGTTTGATGCAACCCTGGTGGCAGAGGATGGTGGGTCCCTGGGTGTACTCATCCCAAGCAACACAAACGAGTTATTGATACTAAAGAAAGTAAGACTAAAAATAAAATTAGGACAAACTAAGAATTTGTTCAGACTCGGAGACATATTGAGGAAAAAAAAACCTTGATTTTTTTTTTTTTGGTTGTTTTGTTTTGCTTTATTTTTGGAGTGCTATTTGTTTTAAAGAATCTTAATATTTCCAGCACATGCATTGCAAATGTCAGCAGAAAGCCCCTTTCATTATGGAAGTCCAAATGGGAGGCGACAAACGTTTCTGCCACAGGGTCTGGTAGTGATGCCAGCGTCTTGAGATGTTTGTTGGGTGAAAATAAGGTAGATTTTGTGGCATATTTGATGTGATTCAAAGAAGCGTGGAGTCAAAACATTTCTTTACCTTTTTATTTTGAATTAAAACAGTATTAAATGAAGAGTAAAATAGTTATAAGAAGAGACAAGAACTTTTCTTGTTTAAACATTGATAAATGATTTGCACAATTTTAGGGACAGTCTTTTTGTGTTTAATTTATTTCTTAATTTCTTGTTCAAATTTTGTGATGGGTCTTGAAGTCAGCTTGGTCAATGGAGCTTGTCGTGTTCCTCTACTTTATTTTACATTTAGGTTCATTCCCAAACCTGGAATTTCAGAGCTGAACTGCATCTGAAAGCAGTTTTCGGCTTGACCCCTCACCCTCTTATCTCTAAAGCTCTGCTCAGCACATGTTCTTGCTCTTAAAACTTTGAAGAGACTACATTTTGATGGTGCACACCAAAACTTTCTTATACATACATAATGTTAATGAAACATGTTTCATGCAGCTGCAATGTTGAAAGCTGGCCACCAGATGGTGCCATACTTAATTACTTTATATCAAATAATTCAATCACAGTACAGTACAGTATACATACTGAACCGTATTGATTCAGTGCTTCAGAAAGCTCTAGTTTCTCGTCGAGTGGGCGGAGTTTCCACATCACATGTGGCGCATTATGGCAGGGTATTGTTTTTTGGCACAACACCAGCAAACAGATAGGGACTGGACAAAAACGCTGTGATATTGGTGAGTTGAAAAATAGCTTTTTAATGTTTTTTTTTAATGTTTTTATGTTAATTAAATGGGAGTGCTCATGTACACACCAGTTTAATGTTTCATTTAACTTTTGCTTGTAGGAATTTATATCTCAAAACAGACTTTTCATAACTGAAACATGATGAAACTCGAAGATGTGAGATTTGAAACTTGAATTTTTTTGCAATGCAACAGGAGCATACAGTAGTTTTGTGGGAGTCAGTTTAGTAGATAAACTGAGTAGATAAATGTGAGATGTTTAGTTGCTATTTTTCTTTAATAATTTTCTGCATTTTTTTTCCCCCCCAGAAATCTCAATAAAACAGGCTTTTAATGAGATTGTCCAAAATATTTTATTTTATATTTTTAAACAGCATCATTTTAAGAACTGCAAACCTTTTCTTTCTTTTTTCCCAAAGTAAAGTTTTAGACCTCTATCTTAGAAACTACAGTACATCATCATGTTTGACGTTCTACAGCCCTCCACTTCAGACTCGCTGTTTGGACTCTTTGTTGCGTTGCTGGTCCTTCTTTACTTCAGCTCCAGGTCTGACAAGAATCAAGAACCTCCAGGACCCAGACCTGTTCCTCTGTTTGGTAACCTGTTTCAGGTGGATCTGAAGAGACTCGATCATTGTCTGTTTGATGTGAGTAATCTATTGATTGTCTTACTATTCTTCTGTTATTGACAATATAGTTTCTTTGTAAATAATGCTGCCGCGAGTCTTACGTTGAGATTTTTATGTTTTCAGCTTTCAAAAGAATATGGCCCTGTTTTCCAAGTCTTCCTTGGACCACAGAAGGTGGTGGTTCTGGCAGGTTACAGGACAGTCAAACAGGCTCTGGTGAGCCATAATGCTGTGTTCGGAAACAGAGAAATCACTCCAGCTTTCTATGATATTAGCAACGGATACGGTAAGAATTTAGTTTCACCGTTATTATTTTGTAAAACAAGTTAACCCATTCTGTTCACAGGTTTAGTGCTTTCCAATGGCGACTCGTGGAAAGAAATGAAACGTTTTGCTCTGACAACGCTGAGAGATTTTGGAATGGGCAAAGTGATGAGTGAAGAGATAGTGATTGAAGAATGTCACTACCTGGTGAAAGAATTTGAACAGTTTGAAGGTAACTTTGTGTAACACGCATACACACAGCTGGCCTGTCGCCATAAATAATAAATCAATTAATTGCATGATAGATAAAAATGATCAACCTCATTTTCATTTAACGGCTTTATCGTTTCTTTGTGTCTCTCTTTTTATTGAAGACTCTGGATGACATTTTTCTTAAAAAGAGACGCGCTGCTCGCTCCTTCACTATCCATCCTTCTGTTCAAACAGTCTTCAACTGCAATCCAGTGGTCAAATTATGTACTACACACAAAAATTAACTAACATTTCTTCTTAAATTTGACAATAATAACTAATTATTGTCACATTTCAAACAATATTATCGTTTATCGCAATAATTTCTGAGACGATTAATCGCCCAGCGAAATTTGTTATCGTGACAGGCCTACACACAGCATCATTTTCAAACTCGGTCACTGTAACATGTAACAGAAATGGGGGAACCAGTACTCCCCAGTAACAAACCATAAAGAATGGCCTCCTTTGTAATATACTGCATACATTGAAGTCATAAAAGTAGTTATAATTTTGTATTTTTACCTAAAGTAAGTAGTATATAGTGGAGCATTTTAAATGTAATATTGGGCTTTGCCAAAACTCATATCAAATTGATTTGTAATGAACCAAAACTTTAATGATAACTTTGAAGTGATGTTCTGTCAGTTACAGTAGTTATCAATAGATAGTACCTTATCTGCTGCATCATCAGTCATGGAGCTCAGAGTATGGAGAAAAAGACAAAAGTCTTCATGCAAAATTCTATATTAGATATTAAACCTCCACATTGCCCATTTGTTTAGGATGTCACTGATATTTTAATTGAATAATGTCCCTTTTACTGTGTGAATGTATGTATGTGAGCTGAATATGTCAGTCCACCTGATCAGCACATCTGGCCAGTCATGAATTTCCTCGACTCTTGGTGGACTGGAACATTCAGTCCACTGGGCGTTGTCATTTTTACATCTCATCAGACTCTATGCTGTCTCAAATTGTAGCTATTTTAAACTGTGTGTGTACTTGCATGCACATGCAGTGACCTTATTCATACTTTATTATTCACAAGTATTTTTCTGACAGGTAACATCTTTGACAACACCCATGCAATTAATTATGCTGTTACAAATGTGATATCAGCTTTAATGTTTGGAAAGAGATTTGAATACAAAGACCCGGTCTTCCAAACTCTGGTGGAACGAGACAATAAGATCATCCATTTGGTAGGAACACCTTCACTGTGGGTAAGACATATTTCCCAACTATAGTAATTATAGGGAATTGTACAGTACTTTTAAAAAGTAGTTGTACTTGTCTTAAAGATGAGACTATTGTTCATAGCTCTATCTATCGCTTTACAGCTGTTTTATCTAATCAGTCTCAGAATCTTCGGGGATGTCAACATGCATTTGGCATTTTTTCCTGCCATTGAAGAAGCACTCCCGGGTCTTCTTCCACAGGGCTCAACCATACATTGTGAGATCAGAAAGTGACATATGACCTTGCAGTTGGGCTTGAGTGGTTTTGGATCATTTTCTTGACTGTTTTTCTATCATTCACGCTATTCATCTGATCAACCTGGGGTTGCATTTCCTCTTGCGTCTACATCCAGTGAGGTTGGCAACAGTCTGATGATCTTAACTTTTAAATATTATAGTGGTCAGAGGAACTTGAAATGGCTTGGAGATGGTCTTGTAGATTTTACATTTAAATATGGATATTTTTCTGAGCTCCTCAGTCACCTTTTCTTTCTCTGGTCAAAGCTCAGTGTGGTGCACACAACAACACCAAAATACGAAGTGGCTCAAATGTTTCTGTTTTAAATAGACCGAATGATCGATAGAAAACTACTATTCTCGGTCAAACCAAGATGGCGCCGAGATGGTGTAGGAGCAGGGCAGCCAACTCAAGACCCAAAGGTCCTGGGCTCGATCCCCAGTCATTGCACATCTCATGGTGTCTCTGAGCAGGACACCCAGTCCCAAATTGCTGGGTGTATCCCAGGTGTGATGGGTTAAATGCAGAGAGCCAATTTCATCTTTGTGTGGGAACATACAATGATGGCAACACATACCACTTTGTTGTTTTTTCCAAACACTTAGTTTGAAATTTGACTACAATGCTTGTCTTTTTAAAGATGCCAATAAATCTGTTCATACTAACTTAGCATATTTTTGTCTATAAAAAAACAAACAAACATCATCATATATTCAGTTATTTGTTTATATACTTTATTGCCAATTTACATTAAGTCATCTCATTGACATTGTACAAAAATATTCACACATAAAAAAAATGCTAATTACTAAAAGTTGTCTAAAGAAGCCAGAAAAGTGTGTTAAATCTTCACTTAGTCACAATCTCCCATCCGGAGCAGTACATGGGCAACAGTGGGAAGGAATGACTCACTTTTAACAAGAAGAAACCTTCAGTAGAACAAGGCTCGGGGTGGTTGGCCATCTGCCTGGACCAGTTGGGCTTAGAGTGGACAGAAAAGAGACTAGAAACACAGACACAATAAATATATATAGTATATACTAATGCAGATGCACATTGAACAATTGCTTTGAACTGAAACACTTCTTGACAATGGAAGCGTTGTTTCAATGGGTACGGGCACCAAATGATTTATCCATGTCTGTATGTGTAGGTTTGACATGCAGAGTGGCTGCGGATGAATGAAAAACTGATCAGAAAAAAACCTGAAACCATCGCCCAGTGTTGTCTCCAACAGCTGAGCATCAACGCACCACAATTTAGCGTTGCCAGTCACTGTTCTGTCTGAACTTTTGGAACAGTGGAACAACTCGCACAGTGATTGCTGGATATGGGCACCGGCGACTCCTGTGACCCAGAATGGAAGAAGCGGGTGAAAGATAATGGATGGATGGATTATTAATGTACACTGAACTTTGTTTTCAGATATACAACATTTTCCCTTGGATAGGCCCCTTTCTCAAAAACTGTTGGGATTTAAGGAAGAATGTTGAAGGCAACAAAATGGTCATAAGGAATAGGATAGGTGATTTAAAGAAAACTCTGGACCCTGATGTGTGCAGATGCTTCGTTGATGCATTTCTGATCCGTAAGAAACATCTGGAGGTAAGAATTCAAAATCTGAGTCAAATTTCAAGCTATAAATGCTAAGTATATTTTTTTTCTTTGTGTTTGACTAGGAATCTGGAGAGAACATCTTACACTACCACGATGATAACCTGTTAAACAGTGTGGCAAACTTGGTTCTAGGTGGAAATGACACCACTGCAAATACGATGAAGTGGAGTCTCCTTTACATGGCCAAGTACCCTCATATCCAAGGTTTTTCAAAAAAGCTACTCAAGCTCATTTCACTTTACAGATTTTCCAGTCAATTGCTAATGCATGACACATGCATTTCTCTTGTGCATCCAGATCGTGTTCAGGAGGAGCTGAGCAGGGTGGTTGGAAGCCGGCAAGTTCGAATGGAGGACAGGAAGAACTTGCCGTACACGGATGCAGTTCTCCATGAAACACAGAGATTTGCAGACATTCTCCCTATTGCTATTCCTCATGCAACCAGCAAAGATGTCACCTTTCAAGGGTACTTCATCAGAAAGGTTCGTGCTAGACTGATTTGAATATTTTTCTTCATCTATGAAGATAGCAACTTGTTCTGAGGTCTTCTTTTTTTTTTTTACCTCCAGGGAACAACAGTTTTTCCTCTTCTCTATTCTGTCCTGTATGATGAGAGTGAATGGGAGAGCCCTCACAGCTTCAACCCTTCTCATTTCCTGGATGAGGACGGTAAATTCGTCAGGAAAGATGCCTTCATGCCCTTCTCTGCAGGTACTTTACAAACTTTTATTACAATAGACAGATGTCTGTGCGGATCCTATTTACCACTTTGTGCAGGTCGCAGAGCATGCCCTGGAGAGAGTCTGGCCAGAATGGAGCTCTTCTTGTTCTTCACCTCTCTTCTTCAGCACTTCCGTTTCACTCCCCCACCTGGAGTCTCAGAAGATGAATTGGATTTAACACCACTTGTGGGCTTCACGCTTTCTCCTCGACCGCAGAAGTTGCGCGCCGTCCAACGCGAGTGTTCCAACTTCTTTGTGGTGTGAAGATTCATTTAACATTTGGAGGTTGAGCAAGTTTAAAACAAAGATTTAAAAAGTTGTCGTGGGGATGGTTCTGGCATTTTAAAACAAACGGTCATGTAGATAATCAAAGCTGTCAGGTGAGCACTGAGAAAACTGCACTGATCATACAATACTAACCTGGCTTCAACAAACAGTTATTCTTCTAATTATTAATTTTGTTCATAATTTTATATTTGTCGTTAATGTACAAATATACAAATTCTATGTATAAATTCAATATTCAGCTTTTTTTCCCCATGTTAAACAATGGCCTCCATGTTTTAACTGAATGTGAACTTGTAATAAAGAGAAATGAGAAACTTTGCCTGTGTAGTGGACTAAGCCTACGTCGAAACCCAGTCTAAGGTCAAAACTC